AGCATTAAGATACAATAATAAACAAGAAAACAACGAGAAAAATTCACCAAACGCTCATGACATCTTATCAATTAATGTCCGTGCCAGTGTACAGTTTCCATTTATATAAATTAAATTATTAACTTGTAACATAGAAATTTCTCAAAGTGACGCAAGTGGAGATTTTCATTTTGTATATATATATATATATATATATATCTTAGCTAATCTTACAATTAGGCGACCTAAGATCGATACGAAGATTACGGGTTTCGTTGCTTTGTTGCAACTATTGTTACGATTGTATCTCCGCATGTGTGTTAACTTCGTAATCTCCTACGTTCGTAATGTAAGATTTTGAATATAAGAAACTCTTGCGACAAAATTTACAAGCAATAATTAAATTACACTTAATTGCTAGAAAATTGTATACTTGCAAAAGTTCTTAGTGTCATTGTCAAGATATCGCACAATGTAACACGTAAAATGCGAGGCGTCAATACGAGCGGTGTGCACTCCATGGATGGATATCTTGATGGATATCTACGCGATAGATTGTCATTGAATTAGTGAATCTCTCCTTCGCAGTTCCCACACGTGGGAAGTCATTACGATTACTGACAATTTCAATGCACGGCGTCGACCCTTTTTTATTGTTCACGTTATTACAACGCCATTGTAAGTTTCGTCTCTTTCTATTCCTTTCTCAGCGCTCGACATATTGTTTAACAGGTGCCTTTTTTTTATTTCAAAATTTCGCATGCTAGCGATACAAAGTAGCGAGAAATCGCCTGCGATTATCGCTTCCGTTCGGTTTTCTGGTCCTTAAAGGATTATTTATCTTTTTTCCTTTCTTGCAATCTTTAAAGAACAGGCACATTTATTGTCGACGCTTTATGGACGCACTTCGAGCGTTCGTGTCACGGCCGTCTACGCGCGGAATACAAACGACATAGCGTCCGTTCCTCAATTGCACATCATAAATTGCATACTTTTCTTTAAATTATGCGTTTTTGTTCGAATCAATCCATTCATCTCATTATTCTGTGCGTAAAAGTATTGAAGTCATCGAAAATAAATATTTCACGAAAAAAATTTCATATCCCATGTCAAAATGTATTAGAAAAAATAAAAAATATATCGTAAGCAGTTTCTTTATTTTTCTACTCCTAATATAGTATAACCAGAAGAACATTATATTTAAAAAAATCATATATTTTTATATTCAGGAAAATATTGATAACGTTAACTCCTTTTAAAAGCCGCACTCTACAAAAAGTTTATAGTCTACTTGTGTGCCATTCTACTTTTTTAATTGCAAAACTTTTATTTTTTTTTTAAATAATCACATCTGCTATAAATCTATATTCTTCTAAAGAGTTTTGTATTTAGAATATTGATGTTTGTTTACGTATGTCATATAGACATTTGTAACAATATATATGTACTTTGTTCAATATTGCCAGACAGCATGTCACAAGTCAACGACAGTAAAAACATCATATGTGTGTGTGTGTATGTGTGTGTGCTCAATCATTTCTTTATAATCTTATATAATCTGGCTGGATTGATCGTCAAGCAGACACAGTGTGATTGTATCAATTTAAAATTCCGCGTGGTCTGCGGTCTAAAATTTTATCCAAAATGATGTCATTAACCGAATACCCACTCACAAGGTTACTCATCACATAATCGTGGCAGGATTCTGCGTATTCGTTTATAAAAATAGAAATACGGTAGGCATATATCGGAAGCGTTTTATAAGATGTCAGCAATTTGAATCTTATTATATCATCATGCTGTTATTGTAGAAATCGGTTCATCTAGGAAGTGAGAGAGATGAATTATGTTTTATTTAACAAATTGAATTAAGTTTACACTATTAAATCTATAGCGTTAAATTTTACCTTATTTAAGTCATCACTGCACCTACTTAATAAATAGTTATTTTTAACTAAAACAATGAATTTAAATAATTCAAAACAGTTCAAATTTAACTCAAATTTAAATTCCATTGTTTTATTTAAAAATAACTATATATTAAGTAACAGCAGTGGCGACTTAAATAGAGTTAAATTTGATACTATAGATTTAACAGTGTAGTTATCGATATGTCTGGTGATAAAAATTGCGAAAAAAATTATATCGTTTAAGAATGTCAAGTTCAATTTCACGTTAGCAAATAATCGACAATAAAGAAAAAAAAGTATTATTTTCAATTATGCAAAAATATTCTACAGGTGTTACTGTTGCAGTTAATCCAGATATCGCGCGGATTCGCATCTTCTAAAGCTGATCTTTGCAAGTTTTTCAGTTTATTACGCTGTGTGCACTTTCTTTGTACTTACTTTGCTTTTTTGGCTTCAAAATTGCTGGCACCGTATGCATCGATATCGGCTGCCTCTACTCGTATACTGCTCGTCGGAGTAAAGGTTAATTTTTTTAGCTTAAGAGGTTCCAACGACGGAATATTGTACTCCGGTACGCCACTCTTAAGGTACGGCTTCAAATACTCTATGCTCTCGCTGACACATGTCTCGTAACGCGGATCGCGCGTTTGGCAAATATGCAGGAACTCGGCTGCAAACATATTGGAAGCAGTCAGATCGATACAAGTAAATTGAAAACATAATAAACATAATCACATTTGTTGTAAATCTATATTCTTGATTTCTATTTATAATTTAATTTCTATTTATAAGTATAAAAAGATCTAATTTTTATGTAGGGGAGAGTTGCCGAATACGTACCACTTAAAATATTTTTGGTTATATTTTATATTTGATACTATTTAGAATGCAAACAAACGTTGGAAATTGTAGC